GGGAACGGGACCGGGACCGGGGGAGGGGGGGGCACCGGGGGCTTGGGCCCGGTTCCCGATCCCGGTCCTTGATCCCCATCCTCGGTCCCGGTTGTTGATTCCGGTCCCCGATCCCCATCCCAGTCCCGGCCCCGGTTGTTGATCCCAGTCCCGGTCTCGGATCCCGGTCCCCGATCCCGGCCCCGGTTCTTAATCCCGGTCCCCGATCCCGGTCCCGGATCCTGGTCCTGGGCCCCGATCCCGGTCCGTGATCCCCATCCTCGGTCCCACTTGTTGATCCCGGTTCCTGGCCCCGGTTGTTGATCCCGGTCCCAGCCCCGGTTGTTGGATCCCGGTCCCGGTCCTGGATCCTGGTCCCGGTCCCCGATCCCGGTCCTTGATCCCCATCCTCGGTCCCACTTGTTGATCCCGGTCCCGGATCCTGGTCCCGGGCCCCGATCCCGGTCCCTGATCCCGGCCCCGGTTGTTGATCCTGGTCCCGGTCCCCAATCCCCATCCTGGTCCCGGCCCCGGTTGTTGATCCCGGTCCTGGTCCCCGATCCCGGTCCGTGATCCCCATCCTCGGTCCCCGTTGTTGATCCCGGTTCCCGGCCCCGGTTGTTGATCCCAGTCCCGATCCCCATTCCGGTCCCGGTCCCGGTTGTTGATCCCGGATCCCGGTCCCCAATCTCGGCCCCGGTTGTTGATCCCGGTCCCGGATTCTGGTCCCCGATCCCGGTCCTTGATCCCCATCCTCGGTCCCGGTCCCGGTTCTTGATCCCGGTTGCGGTCCTTGATCCCCATCCCGGGATCCCCGGCCCCCGTTGTTGATCCCTGTCCCGGTTCCTGATCCCGGTCCCGGTTGTTGATCCCGGTCCAGGATCCTGGTCCCGGTTGTTGATTCCGGTCCCTGATCGTGGTCTTTGATCCCGGTCCCGGGTCCGGTTGTTGATCCCGGTCCCAGTTCCTGATCCCGGTTGCGGTCCTTGATCCCGGTCCCAGCCCCCGTTGTTGATCCCTGTCCCGGTGCCTTATCCCGGTCCCTGATCCCAGTCCCGGCCCCGGTTGTTGATTCCGGTCCCGGTCGTTGATCCCGCTCCCTGACCCCCATCCCGGTCCCCGCCCCGGTTGTTGATCCAGATCCCAGTCGTCCGGTCCTTGATCCCAGTTGATCCCTATCCCGGTCCTTAATCCCGGTTCCCGATCCCGGTTCCGATCCTTGATCCTTATCCTGGTCCTTAATCCCGGTTCCCGATCCCGGTTCCGGTCCTTAATCCCGGTTCCCAATCCCGGTTCCCGGCCCTTAATCCCGGTCCTTGATCCCGGTCCCGTTCTTTGATCGCAGTCCCGGTCTCTGCTCCCGGTCCCGGTTCTTGATCCTGATCCCGATCCCGGCCCTTGATCCCGGTTTCCGGTCCCGGTCCTTAATCCCC